CTACCCGGGATGAGTTGGTTGCGCTACATTTGGCGTAGAGGGCAGGACGGTTCAAAGCAGGGTGGCTTGAGGCAGACGGGTATGGAACCCCGGGGCGGGATTGAGGGGTGGCCGGCCACCAGCAGATGGTACTCGGTGGCCAGCCTCCTCTGCCAGTGGGCACTTCCCCAAGAATGGCCAGCGGTGGATGGGTCCCTGGTGCAGGTGGAACAGGCCCTACACAATATAGAAGAGATCCTGGATAGATACAGTGCCTGCAAGATGGCAGGGGCTATGGGATGGGTGTTTCTCACCGCTCTGCAGGAGTCTGGGCAGAAAGAGCAAACCAGAATCCAGCAAGCACAGGATGAGATGTGGGATGGGATGCGGAAACTGCAGCAACGTTTGAGGATTCTGGAGGAAGAAGTTTGGAGAAACCAGCCCACCATTCCGAAGACACCAGACTCCTTCTCAGGAGAGGTGGAGAGGGAGGCTGGCCCTTTGCCAGAGTCGCAGCCAGTGGTGGCAAACTAACTTACGACTCCGGAAATTCTGGACCCCTCTAGAGAGGAGGAGGAGGCTGGTCCCATGCTCGGGGCCCTCCCTGTGATGACTCCGAAAATGAAGCCACAGCGGCCCATGGCCCCAGGGGGTGAGGCTGCAGGGCCACCACAACTGACAGAATTTACTAGGTACCAACTTTACACCTAGGCGCAACTGGTGGACTTGGGCAAACAGTTTCGCCAGAAACCAGGGGAACCCTTGGCAGCCTGGCTGCTGCGTTTGTGGGACCTGGGGGTGGATGGGATTATTTGTACAGCACAAGAGATGGAGAGACTGGCCTCAGTGACTTTACACCCATCCTTGAGACAGAGGCTGCAGAACAGCCAGTGGTATGGCCAGGGAGATCACAACCTGCTGGAATGGATAATGGCTGCCATACAAACAGTGTGGGCTGATGCAGGAGACGTGCCAGAGACAGTGAGCAGATGGCAGACATATGCCGAGCTGGTACAGGTACTTCGGGAATTGGGGATGAGGCAGATGATGTTCAATGTGAATGCTCGTGGTCCTGACAAGCATTTCACAGCAGGGGTGAGAGACTTGATATTAAAGAGTGCCCCCTCATTCTCATTTGGATCCCTCATGGCAGCTCTTGCACCACATGTGGGACAGCAAATCCACGACATCACAGCAATGATAGCTAGCTTGGGTGAAGTTGAGAGCCGTTGCTCTCGAACTCAGAAAGGCATAAGGGTAATTGTTGAGCAATCAAAAGGAATGCTGAGGAGGGCAAAGAAGCCTCTTGGCATGACAGAACCTGTTAAAGTTACCCGTAACCAAATGTGGACAGATTTAGTGAGAGCAAGTGTAGATCGCACTGAAATACATGCAAATCCCAGTGCATACTTGTTAAACTTATGGAAGCAACTGCAAGAGGACCAGAGGTTCATGCACGTGAGAAGGGCTACTGCTAAGGGGAAGCCTGGAAGCTTCCGGCCTCAGGAATATGCTCTGAGCCTGGAAGACAACTTGCTGCCAACCATGTCCTGGAGCAATGGCATGATCACTTTCAAACAGGGTGAGGGCCAAGGAACCCGTCCACAGGGGACGGGCAGGGACCAGAGGCCAAAGGTGGAACTTGCCATCCACTGGCCCCTGACTAATGTGCAAAGAGTTTTGGCTTTGGTAGACATAGGAGCAGAATATACTCTGCTCAATGGAAATACAGAATAATTTCAAGGGTCTGCTTGTTACACTGATGGCTATGGAGGCCAGAGTGGCAAGGTGACAGCTGTGAGACTATCCCTGGGGACTGGGCTATTATCCCCGAAGGAGTATAAAGTATATGTATCGCCCATTCCGGAGTACATCCTGGGGGTGCATGTACTACGTGGCTTATGGCTAGAGATCACAGCCAGAGAGTTTCACCTTAGAGTGTGTGTGGTGAAGGCAGTGGTGCGAAGACACGCTAAGCATCTGCCCTTACAACTGCCAGTCCCTAGGCGAGTGACTAATAGCAAGCAATATTGCTTGCCCAGAGGCCACAAGGAAATTATGGACTCAATATCAGAATTGGAGAAAGTGGGCATAGTGCGTACTGCCCACAGCCCCTAAAATTTGCTGGTGTGGCCGGTGAAGAGGCCCGATGTCTCTGCACATGACAGTAGATTATGGTGAATTAAATAAAGTAGTTCGCCCCTTCCATGCTGCAGTGACTTCAGACTTGATGGATCCTCTGAGCCATGAGCTAGGCATGTATCATTTTGTAGCCGATCTGGCAAATGCTTTTTTTCAATAACTGTAGCTCCAGAGAGTCAAGACCAGTTTGCCTTCACATGGGAAGGCCGACAATGGACATTTACTGTGCTCCTGCAGGGATACCTGCACAGCCCTGCTCTGTGCCACGGGCTGGTGGCAGCAGATCTGGCCCGGTGGGAGAGGCCATCTTCAGTGCATTTGTATCATTACATTGATGACATTTTATTGACTAGTAACTCTCTTGCAGATTTGGAAAAGGCAGTACCTCTCCTGTTGACACACCTGAAAACATGTGGCTGGGCAATCAATGAAAGCAAACTGTAGGGGTCTGGACTGTCAGTTAAGTTCTGGGGGGTTGTTTGGTTAGGTAAGACAAAGGTTATCCCTGATGCCATAAATAGATAAAGTACGAGCTTACCCCACCCCATCAACAATCAAGCAGCTGCCGGCCTTTCTGGGCCTGCTGGGTTACTGGAGGGCATTTATTCCTCACATGGCCCAGATCCTACGACCCTTGTATATATGTTGATATGTAAGGGGGCCAGGTGGGATTGGTCAGCTGAGGCAGACACAGCATTTGCCATGGCCAAACGAACTATAAAGACTGCTCAGGGCTTGCAGGCTTTTGACCCAGCCCGCCCCTGTGAGCTAGATGTGCATGTTATTCAGGAAGGGCTCTGGTGGGGACACTGGCAGAAATTAGCGAGGGTACGACAGCCTATTGGGTTCTGGCCCCAACTCTGGAAGGGGACTGAGGTTAGGTATTCCTGAATTGAGGAAACAGCTAGCTGCAGTATATGCAGCCTTACTAGCTACTGAAAGTATAATTGCAACAGCTCCTGTCCTAGTGAGATCCACTTACCCAATAACTGGATGGGTACGGGACTGGACGACAAAGCCCCATAGTGGTACTGTGCAAGCGCCCACCTTGGTGAAGTGGGGGGCATACCTAGAACAGTGCTGCACCCTGTCAACTAGCCCCTTAAGGGTGGAGTTGCAGGAGGTTCTTGGTCCAGGGGCGTATGTCAGTATGGAACCAACTTCAGAAGTCTGTGTAGAAGCCGAACCTGAAGCTAGTCCCTACAAGGAGGGACGAGAACTGATTCCAGCAGAGGCCTGGTATACGGACAGCTCCAGCCAGGGCCAACCAGCATCTTGGACAGCTGTGGCTATACACCCAGAAATGGACACCATTTGGTTTGAAACTGGGACAGGACAGAGCAGCCAATGGGCTGAACTGCGAGCAGTATGGATGGTGGTGGCCCATGAGCCTTCCCCTCTTGTCATTTGTACTGATCGTTGGGCTCTGGGCATGGGCCTGACACTGTGGATTTCCACGTGGAATCTAAATGACTCGACAGTCATGCATCTGCCAGTGTGGAGCCAGGTCCTATGGAAAGATCTATGGGATCTAGGTCATCAGAAGCAGGTGACTATTTATCATGTCACAGGACATGCCCCATTGGCCTCACCGGGCAACGATTAAGCAGATACCCTAGCCCAGGTTCGATGGCTTGAAACTGCCCCAGGGCAGGATGTTTCGCAGTGGCTGCACAGACGCTTGCTCCACACACAGGGCAAAAGACAATGTTGGCCACTGTGCATGCCTGGGTCTACCTGTAACTTTAGAGGAGGTTCAGACTGTTTGTGAACAATGTGTAGTGTGTTCCAGGACTTACCCCCGGAGACCTTTTGCCTCCACAGACCAGGTGTTGCGGGGGCAGGTACCCCTGACATGCTGGCAGATTGACATCATTGGACCACTACCTCACTCTGATGGACAACAGTCTGCAGTCACCCGTGTGGACACGCTACCGGGTTATTGGCAGCTTACCTGCTCCACATGTGGACCAAGAGGCAGTTTTGGCAGCACTGGCACACCTATGTGCTGCATATGGACGTCCACTGGTAGTGGAGAGCGACCAAGGGACCCATTTTACAGGAGCCGGGTGCAGCAGTGGGTCAAAGACATGGGCATTGAATGGAAATTTCACATTCCCTATAATCCCAAAGCTGCAGGGATCATAGAGTGGTATAAGGGCCTGCTAAAGCAAGGAGTGAGAGCTACTGCCCCCATTCTGATGCTGGCCGGCTGGAGCCAACAACTGTGGGACGTGCTGTGAACATTAAATGAGAGGAGCGGGAAGGGCAGCCTGGCTCCAGTGGAGACGTTGCTGCATCGTGCCAATGCTCCAATCCAACTGCAGATACAAACTTCAGATATTTTGTTAAAGCCTGGATTTGGACAGCAGGGCAACATTTTATTGCCAGCCCTGACTGGAGTGGACCCAGGGCAGACTGTGGACTGGGAATGGCCCTGGACTGTGAAGGCTCCCCACATGCACTGGGTAGCTCTGATAGCCCCTTGGAGTCATGGCCTGGAGGCCAAATTACAAATAACACCATGGGTGACTGCACAGTGGCCGCCCACAGGTGCGTGTTACCCACCCTGGGTTAACAGCTTACAAGGCAATCCTAAAGGGGACATTTGTGATGACTTTGTGGCCTATTATGTGCTCGCCACTCTTGCTGCACGTACAGCCCTCTGATGCCTCTTCACTGTCAAAGTGAGTGTGGTACTCGCGACCTGGAAGGCCACTGATGCCAGCTACAATATTATCTTTGGACACAAAATTGGCATGTGTATTGCCAGATGGGAGGGATCTCCCAATGCTGGTACCAATAACTTCTTTATCTTTCCGGCCCTAGGAGAATTGAACTTAGTTATATTGTGATGTATACTGTTTGCTTTTGTGGGTCATGGCCGCAGTGTTTATGTTTGTTAAAGGAAACTTGCATATACTTGTAGATAGACTATATGGCGGAAAACCCTGAGGGGATGGATTGTGGGAGAAGTAGGGGAAAAAGCTTCAGGCTTTTCCGCCCTCCCACCGCTCATGCACACTCGGCCAAACGGCGCGGCGTGGCGTGGCACAGGGTGGTGCAGTGCCTGGGACTGAGGAGTGCAGTGGAGTGGATGGAGGCGTGCAGCAGAGAGTGGCAGAGTGCGACGGAGTGTGGCTACAAACCGCGGAGAGCATGAAGACACTAACACAGCTGCTAGAACCGGTAATGAACCTACCCGGTATGGGTTGATTGCGCTACAGCACCTTTCAGCACTGCTTTCTGGGTCTTTAACACTTTGCTTTGGCTTAGACTTGGGATAGGCAGAGGTTCCCTTCTTTACTTTGGATACTATCTTCATGAAAATTGGGGAAAAAAAAATCTCTAAAGACGAACCATTGGAGAGGACACTTAAGAATTTTCATTAGTTCAATTTTCAAATGATTTCCCTTTTAGCTGGAACAATGAGTATGTCTAATGGTATTAAATGGCTCCTTGAACTCTAGAGGCATTTCCCAATAAGGGTATAAAAGATATCATTTGCTGAAGATCTAAAATCTTGAAATCGCCCCAAGGTAGGACTTACGTGATTCTGGTCAGCTGGCAATGGAACCTAACTGCGAATGGAGACCTACTCACATTTCTGTCGTGCCATATTTTGAAGCACCCAAACTGACAGTTACCAAACCAAACTCTCTGGACACAAAACAAGAAAAGCAGGCCTCTCTCTACTGAGTGTTAAACGCAGAGATCTGAGAGGGCTGACTCTGGAGACTTCAAAGAGCTGCTTCTACCAGTTTTTCCAGGATCCCATTACAAGCTCAGAGTAAGATTCAAAGAGGAGAGGGTGGCTCTGTTGATACCCACTGGAATTTGGAAAGGTTATCTGTTAATTTTCAATTTAGTTTTCCCCTGGCTGTTAAAGGGAATTCCTTATAGCAGGTTACTAGAGAATCCTTGAGTTCTGGGTGGGGCCCATATGAGACTGTCTGTAAAGCTACTGACCTTACCGGCTTTGGTTTATGTCATGAAGTCTCCACAAAATGGAAAGACAATTCAGACAAATAAGAAAATGAGTAAAACCTGAGGGTACAGGGGAAAGAAAGGAACATGGAAAGACATCAGGAGTCACTTTAGTCATGTGGTCTTTTTTTTCCCAAATACTTCATATTTTTAATTTCAAGGAATATTTCAATAATATGGGAAGTCTTTGTTTCAAGTGCACTTAATAGATAAACAACCTTGCCTCATTGGCATGTTCCCTGTAACAGCTAATGTCATTCTAAGTTATTTTCAACCAGGTATTGCCATTTTTCTTGATAGCTGAGCTTCCTGGGCTATGGTTCTTAAATTTAAGGTGTTCCACTCTTCAGCCATACAGGAGCCCATTTCTTTTAGTTGGTATTTTTATTTTTCTTGGAGCCACATTAATTCCTAAACTCTTTGCCTTTATCTCATGTGTGCATAACCAACAGTAGCCAAAGAATGGAACTCTGGACTCCAATAGTAACCAACTAGGGAACTGGAGAGGCCTGAATGGTAGACCTCAAAGAATGGGATCTGCATAGTGATTGCAAGCAAACTGAGAATTTCAGCTTCCCTCACAGTTCCTGAAATGGAATCTGTGGAAGGATTCCAAACAATGGACATTGCAGCTCTCACCCATAGTTCTAACACAGAATCTAGGACAAAAACAAGCATCGGGATTCACCTTTTACTGCTAACAAAAACAGACCCAGTCTGACCCCAAATATTGGCTACCTTGGAATAGTACAGTCTACTTTAATCTCTGTCCAACCTGATCAGCTAAACCCTAGATCTCAGTCCAGTTTTAAAGATGGATCCAGTCCAATTCCAGCTGGAACCCCTAACAATTCCCCATTGTGGACTAAGCCAGCAGATCCCAGTAAAAAGAGACCTCTATAGAAATGAGGAAGGGAAGGATTCTCAGTTTTCATACACAGTTCTTACTTAGGTTCTTACACAGAACCTGAGAAATGGAGGAGACCTACAATTTGGAATTGTGTGGAATTGTTGACTAAATTCAAGGGCTAAGAATCTACTCACTACAACCTAGTCTGAAAAGCAAATTATTGGGAATTTGAGGCAAAGAGATGAGATTGAACTGAGAGGAACTTACCCATGCCTTCAGAAATGACAAAAAAGACAAGAGAACTCAACAAGGTTCAGGGGTGTCATACCTGCCTGTGTTTCTCCCTGTTCTCGATTGCCCCTGGAAGTTCATTTCAAATCTGGCTACTGCCACCAGACTGTTAAAAAAAAAAAAAAAACCCACAAAATTCAAGATCTAATTGTCTTTATTAAATAAATCATGAATGAATCAGGCAGCATTCCATTATGTGAAGCAAGGACTAACATAAAATGGCAGGTATTTATAGATAGAAAAAGGAGAGACAAGTTATTAGCTAAAGAAAGGATTGCTTCAGGTAAAGTCAATTTCCCTCAGAGGAACTCAGGGGTCTTATAGTGCAGACTACCTCACTGCTTCTGATAAGGAAACTTTAGATAGATTGTGTGTGTGTGTGTGGTTTTTCTGTTTTGAAATGATAACTACATGTGTGTAAACAATGTATTTCCTACACTATAAGTTAAATTCTCTTTCTTGCTTCTATTAACTTTCTGATTTATTTTTAATTTGTAATTAAAGAGTTAAAAGTGATATCAAACTTTCACAGAACTTTATCCATTTTAAAAATAACTATAGCTTTAGGACAGTAGTCATTAGTTCAAGTGTTCAATAATAAAATATCTGGTTGTTATTTATCTAGACTTTTAACAATGCAATTCCTTGAAATATACTGGTTTTTTCTCCTGTAAAAGATGAAGTAGTTTGCCTGTACTACTTTTAATTCACTAATGTTTTATCATCTAATATTCTGGTTGCTTTTAAATATTCTTTCATTTAAACAATAAATAATCTTCATTTTCCATGTATGCAATTCCCTTGTTTTCAGTTACAACTCCTGGTCATAAAAATGCAAATTTAGTATGCAAATTATATTCATTTAAAAATATATTCACAGCAGCTTTAGGTGAAAACACCACTGTCTTTCAGCTAATGCCAAAATGTAAATCATGCCACTTCATAAAAGGAGTACACACATTTCTTTTTTTCGATAAAGCATATATGCACAAATTTGATCTAGCTTGAGATTTTGACATTTATGAAAAGGGTATCGGCTGAGAATTTCAATGTCTCAAACACAGTGGGTAGATACTCGTAGCTTTAGTGAATCTTTGGACAGACTCTATATTGAGCTTATAGTACTATTGGAAGGATATAAACAATGACTAGACAAACAGGATACAATACCTAGTACATAAAACTTCTTTAATATAAGTTTGTAAGATCTGAAGAAATGTCTATAATATCAGTCATGGCTATACTAACAAACATGTTTGTTAGAAGCTGGGGATTCAAAGATGAGAAGTCATAAACTCTTCCTGGCTAGATTTCTTATCTGCTTAACAAATACTTAGAGTTCAACCTAAGGTAATAGAGACATTAAAATGTTTATGGCTATTAGAGGGAGAGATTGATCGATCTATAAGGCGAAGTGGATAAAGGCTCCATAGAGGATGTGGATTTTGAACACTAATATATAAAAACATGGTAAATACACTACATGTAGGCATTCAGAAAGTTGTTGACATAAGATATTAGAGGTGATTTAACATTATCTATTGCTATAAACAAGTCATCCAGGTCAGTGCCTTAAAACAACATCGTTTATTATTAGAGGTACTGTGCCCATAAAGACTGAATTTCCATAGAAAAGTAATTTTTCTCTATGTCAGTGTCACAGCCTTATACAATACTTATTTCTTTTTTAGAAGATTTCAGCACTGTAACCCACAGGAAAAATCTGGTATATTGCCTATTTTCCTTTTTATTTTCTACTTCTGTGAATAACGTTTTATTGGGACAGAGCCATGTCCATTTATTTGCTTATTGTCATGGCCATTTTTTTTTTAAAGATTTATTTATTTATTTATACAAGCACTGGGTACAGTCAGAAGCGCGGGAGGGTGAGAGAATTTCCCAGAGCCAGAGTGGGGAGCAGAGCAGGCCGAAGGACCGAAGTACACTGCTGAGGGGAGCAGCGGGCAGCAGGAGAGGTCTGCGCGCCATGTGGGACCCTCTCCTTGTGGCCGGGGAGCAGCCGGGGATCAAACCAGTGCTTCAAAGGCTGCAGGCAGCTTCGCAACCCAGCGCTCAACCGCTGCACCACCAGGGAGGTCCATGTCATGGCCATTTTTAAGCTACTACTGCGGTTTTGAATATTGCAGCTGAAACTGCTGAGAAGCACTGCCAACTGCTACTCTGTACTGGTGCCATTCAATAGAACTTTTGGTGATGATGGAAGTGTGACTTAAGAGCACCTGAAATGTGTTTGTTGTGATTGAACTACTGCATCTTAAATTTCACTTCTTTGTAATTAAGCGGATACACATGGCTAATGGTTACATCTCAGACCAGCCAGTTCTGGATAGTAAGTTCTCTGAGGCCAAGGACCAATTTTTGTCTGTCTTTTTTTTACCCAATAATATCTCTGATTTGCAATTTGCAGACTCAATCACTATCTTACATTTATTGAATTCATTTTGTCATGGTGGTTTTCCCTTATTTTAGTCAAACTTTATGAAAGTGTAAAGCTAAAATATTCTTTTTCAGAATCACTAATGGTGGGCTCAGCTCAAATGCTCAGTGATTTTTAAAAAATGTCTCCCAGTATCCTAGCCTATAGATATGTTTCTCTATAATAGGGTCATCTTTGAAGGTCTAGCCCACAGCGTGGAGAATCCAAGCAAGGTTTTTTGTTTGCTTATTTTTCACTTAATTGATTGATTGCTTTTCTCACAAATTTTGTAGACTTTGAATCTCAGGAAGAAGAATTTGGTATACCGGTCATTTCTTCTATTGAGGTAACAGTGGTTTACACTGTTATGTGATTAAGGGGAGTAGGTGCTCATCTCCTCAGACATATTAACACACCACCCCCAACATCAAAGCACTCAGTCCTTTACCTTAGATCATTGGGGCCCTTACCCCTCCAGCAGCCCCAAGCAAGGCTTTGACCAACTGGCAGATGCCAGAGCAAGGCCCTGTCTCTCTAGAGTAGCCCTGAGAGGTAAAGTGATTCCCTAAGAAAAGAACAGCTTGCCTGGGATCACAAGGCCTGGTTCTTAGTGACACACTATGT